GATCCGGTTTGTTCCGGTTAGCCACAAATTGGTTATGTGGTTTGTACTAACCAAGGCTAAATAATTGTTGTATTGTTCTTCATTGTTCAATGACAGAAACATTGATATTTTCCAAATCCTCTCACGAGAGAGAGATCTCGATCTCGTCTTCTTCTTCTTCTCAATAGAGAGATTTAGTTTATGTTCTAATGTAATCTTCTAATATGGTAGACATAAATTTCTTACTTTTATCACGAATCTCTTTGGCTAAAAATTTTCTATATATTTTTTAATTTTTCAATTCTTTATGTACCATTACAAACTTTGACAAATCAATTTTTATTACAAATATCTTTTTAAGTTTCTATTTAATATTGACTTCCCTTAGATTTTTTAATTTATTGGTTTCCATCAAATTGTTTTTTCCATCTTTTTCTTCTTTTCTGGCCTTTTTATATTTTTATATTTATATTTGCATATGATAATTGTTACTTAGATCAACTATAAACATGGATATCATAAAACCATTATACTTGAATTTCTTTTTCTTTAAACATCTTTACTACTCTTCAAATAATTTTGCCTCGTAAATCTCTCATTGTCAAGGTAAAAGAAAATACAAACCCCATACACTGTTACTATGTTTCAACACATATCACAACGATGATTTTTTACAAATTGATAAACAAAATTAACTTCATAAGAATTCTTGAACCATCCACATAAATTCTTTTTTTCCTTTTTTTTTGGATAACTCAGAGTCCATGGAGAGATCTAGACCAATGTACTCATTTTATTATTAGTAGACTGGTATATTAATAAAACGATTGCCCATTATGAAAAATTAGTTAGGCTGAGTTTTATGCTACTAAAAGAAATAAACATAGTATTTTAGAATAGACATAGTCTAAAAGACTTTTGTCGTGTGTTCACTTGTCTTGAAAGACACCTTGGACTGTTTTCCAATCACATAGAACTTACATAAATCCATTTTACAGCTCATCTTATCAAGAATGATAATAATTTTGAAACAATACACAAGTAAGAGAATAAATCATATATCCAATACCATGAAGATCAATTTTTATTTCTAAAATACTATCTTTTTTTTGTTGTTTTTGTTTTTCCATCACACAAAACTTACATAAATCCATTTTACAGCTCATCTTATCTAGAATGATAATAATTTTAAACAATACACAAGTAAGAGAATAATCATATATCCAATACTCAACGATCTATTTTTATTTCTAAAATACCATCTTTTTGGTTATTGTTTTTCATCACACAGAACTTACAGAAATCCATCTTGCAGCTTATCTTCCCGTCTAAAATAATAATAATTTAAAACAATACACAAGTAAGAGAATAAATCATATACCGGATAACAAACAGTGAAAGTTTTTA